GACCCCGTACTTCTTGTTCTAATCCAAAGTTATCCATAACCGAGGCTTCGGTAATGCTGGTTGACGGTGGCTGCTCGGACTGAAATGACCATTCCCATTACCCCTGTCGTTGTCAGTACTCCGTCTTCGTTTTGTGACTGCCTTTGAGGGCCCTAAACGGGCTCTTTATCTTTAAACGCCCCTTTCCACGATCTAAGTAAAGCCCCATTTCACTAGTATTTCTTTGCACGGAAAACCAACTTTGAAGCTTCGTTTCCCAAGCAAAACTACGCCGGATTGATTGGATGCCCGACAGGTTTCGGCGGTGTATTACTAGATGAGTGGCCGTATAACCAGATTTATTTAATTCGAAAAAAAATCGTTTTAAATGAAATATAGGGGAATCTCGGTTAACGAGTTTAATCTGTGCCGGCACCAAGCTCGTCATACAAAAAGCAGCTATTCAAACTGCATCAGTTAACTGATGAGCTGCATTTGCCTTATGACCCACGCTCTGGAAGCAAGACTTAATAGCAGAACTAAGCACACACACACACGCACTAACAACTCGTTACCTCGTTAATCTCGTTAATCGAAACAAATTTTCTGCTAGCGGCTCGCTCGTTGCGTAAAATGCTGGTAGATGGGGTTTGCTTGTCATCCGAATCTCTTCTGTACTTAGTTTTACGACAGGTATTTACCCGGAAAATATACTTTCGCAAGAAGCGGGCAAAGCACACTTCCTTATTGCTACTTCTATCAATTTAATAAAACGAGAGGCATGCACACTGACACTATATAATTTTCGATACCTTTATTATTGGAGTCAACATTGCTGACAAATAGAAGTATCTGTAAGCTGCAGAAAAAAGTGAAATCGAACGCTTGTTTCCTTTTTTCTGCCTTGTAAAGGTCGTCATTTAAAACTTCTATCTAAAAAGACACTAGGATTTTCGATAATTTCTCATTGTAAAGAATCCTACTATAAAGCTGGTCACCAGGCCTTGTCCAGATTCCTTCCCTCCCCCCGACCATGTCTACTGGTTGACCACAACTTAGATGCTTCTTTTTTAGCCAATTGGGCTTCATCAAC